AGGATTTGGCCTAGTGGGGGAGACAGCTACTTTTATGCTGCCACAATGGGGCCTTTCTCTGCCCATACCTTAACCCTTTGAAAAACTAGTACCCTCTCCACCCCCACCCTGTCAATACTTGCTTATGTAGCTGTTGTCCAGTAGACTGTAAACTCCTTGTGGGCACAATCCCTGCCTTTTTCAGCTTAACTCTGGGGCCAAGCAGTTCCCCTAAGAGTATCACTTGTAGATCCTCATTATGTGATTGTTGGGTAAATGAACTAGGCCTGGAGTTGGTCCTATACTTCTTTTACTTAAAAGACATCAATTTGGGGCGCCTGGGTGGCTCAGTTGGTTAAGCGACTGCCTTCGGCTCAGGTCATGATCCTGGAGTCCCGGGATCGAGTCCCGCATCGGGCTCCCTGCTTGGCGGGGGGTCTGCTTCTCCCTCTGCCCTCTTCCCTCTCGTGCTCTCTGTCTCTCATTCTCTCTCTCTCAAAATAAATAAATAAATAAAATCTTTAAAAAAAAAAAAAATGAAATATAGGCCTTAAGTGCACCGATGATGAAAATGCCACGAGCTTTGCATCTATTCTTTCCAAAAGGCATTTGATATATTAAAATATACAGTTAAATGATTAACATAATAAAAAATTTTTAAAAATATACAGTTAAATACAATATCAGTTTTTCTTTTAAAAACTTTTATTTTGGAAAAAATTTCTTATGATTTGATTGTTAAACTATGGATACATTATGTGTATACCACTTCGAGAAAAATCTGCATAAAATTTGAGTTTGGGGCATGAATATGACCAAAAACACATATTAAGCTCTAACAAAGTACCTATTTTCAGTAATACACAGAACTTAAATCATCAAACAAGGCAATTCAAGCTTAAAATGTCTTTTCTAATGCTGACTTTCCCAGCGCTCTACACACACTAAAAATTTCAACATTCCATAGTCTTCAGTTTTATAAGTCAGGAGAAGTTCATTAAGGAGAAGTCAGCTTGCTAGAGCTGGCCAATTAATATAAAGTTACCAAGGTGAATCACAAGAGAGATCCTTCAATCTATTCATTCTGTGTCTACTTTCACTAACAAAACTAGTAGCAATCCTTCTAATGATGAGTTCTTAAAAGGCACTAGAATATAAAGATTTTAGAATTATATAAAGTGTGCAGAAAGTCAAAGTTTACAGAAGAGGAAAGTCTGCCTAACAGGTTCGCTCAAATGTTCCTCCTCTATCTTCAGGTAACAGTTTAAAGCCAAACTTGGCTCCTTCTCAATCACTTCTCTCTAGGCTTTCCAACAGATGAGATTGGTCCATGACCTTCTTCAAGAGTATGTTCACGGTAACATAGTAACATCTTCTCCAATCTACAAACTAATTCTACTACTTTTCAAAGAAATACTAAAATCGAGGATCTTTTAGAATAAATGCTATTGATCGTTATATTTCCCACACCTTCTTACAACCCATAATGTAACTCGGCCTAAGTATTACTATTTCCAGGAAAGGAAGAGGTCAGGAACGACATGGAAGGGGACAAATAGGACCAGCCTCTCTCCCTTTCTACCCGCAAGAGTTAGGTATTCTCGTACTTCTTTCCCTATAGCACGGCCAGTTCTGATTTTAAGGCAAAAGTAAGGTGAAAACTGGCTTGCGGCGTAGCTCCTTAGGCAGTGTAGGGCAGAACTTCAATGGAAACACGCTTAGGAGTAAAGTATTAAGGTAAGTGTGTCCCCAGAGGGGTGGAGGAATAGAGATCCGAAGGTGGGGAAAGGTGGTGGGGTGCTAGGGGTAATACTAAGAGGCAACACCTATCTTAGCTAAGAAATGGGCAGGGTGTTTCTGCATGCAAAAAACAAGACAAATCAGAATCTCTGCATTTAGCATTTCTGTACTTGTGATTACCTTATTTCTGCGTGCTCAGAATGATAATCAGTTTCAGGTGGAAAGCTTTCAGTGAAGCAGGCCTACTAACTTGTTAGAACATATACAGCATGGCATCATCATATTGTGCCATGTTCATGAAGAAGAAATCCTCTTGCGAGGTAAACAGTTTCAGATATATTACAATTTGTTTTGAAAGTGGTTATTGCTCAACTATTTCGAATTTTGAAATTGGCAATAGTTATCTAAGAGCCTTTACAAAGGCGTAGCCTAGAGGCTGCTTCAAAGCAAGCGACAAATAGGAAGAAAGCTTACACTGAAAACCACGTGTCTCCCCGTAGGAAGTACATTACCAATCCATTTCCCGAAAGTTCACTTTCCATGTGAGCGTAACAATGTAAATATTTCTAAATACCAGATTTGACATCCACGTATTTACTTGCCTCACTCGCAAAAGAGCGGGGATTCTTCCCTCTGGGACCAACAAGTAAAAATAATCTACCCTTAATATTAATACGCGGGGTACGGAGTCAAAAACCGGGGCCATTAACCGTCCAAAGCCCGGAGGTGGGTTCTCGTGTCAACAAAGTGGACCGGAGGAGGCAAAGGTCTGAATGCTGGGGGCCTGCAGGTGGGGGGGAGTGGCGAGTGGGTTTTCGGGCGCTTCGGAACAATCCATTCCCACTCGGTCTCGCTCGGTGGGTGGGTGGGCGCGCGATGGGGGGGTTCTGTGGCCGCGCGGGGTCTCCGCCGGGAGTCGGGCGCAGGCCTCGGGCAGCAGCTCCTCAAACTCAAACCGCATCCCGCCCCCACCCCGGCCCCAAGCTCGGGGCTGGGTACTGGCCCCCAGACGGAAAACTGCAACTCCCCAGTCATCGCGCGTCCCTCAAAGACTCCGGGTCAACCCTGGTTTTCCTCCAGCGCCACCGCAACCCCTCAGCCCAAGACCTCAGGTCAGGGGTCTCTGACCTCCCGCCATTTCTCCACGTCGCCACAGCTCCGAGCAGGAGAGAACCTCAAGGTGACACCTTCTTTGGGACGACGGATCCGGGTTCCGCGCCCGGGCTCTCGGGCCCGGCTTCCCGTCAGATCCCGGTTACCTCACCTGGCAGCGGCACACGATGTCGGCGTCCTGCGCCAGCAGATCCACCACCTTCCCTTTGCCTTCGTCGCCCCACTGCGCGCCCAACACCACCGTCACCCGGTTCCCTCCGGGCCGCGCCCCGGGGCGGCCACAGTCACCGTTGGGCAGGGAGGATGCCGCCGGGTTGGTCTCGGCGAACGCCATGGCTCCAGTGACGCGAGGAGAGCCCGAAAGAGACGCGGGCGGCGAAGAGTGCGCGAACTGAACTGCTCTGCGGCCGCCAGCCACATGCGAAGGAAAAAGGAGCCAGAGTCCGGCCCCGCCCCCGCCGGGCCACCACCCTCCAGCCAGGCCCCGCCCCGCTCTCCTCCACAGCCCACTCAAGGGGCGACCATGACTGCCCCGCGCAGGCAGGCCGCCGCAGAACTGCCCGCAGGAAGAGGCCCCGGTGGCGGCAACCGCCGCCACCCGGGACCGAGGCCACGCCCCTTCCGCAGCCTGGCGCACCACCCCAGGGCGAGCCCCGCGAGCGGAAGGGGCAGGGGCGGGGCCTCTAGCGCACTTCGCCTCAACGCCCCGCCTACCTGCCCTTCTCCCGCTTTTCAAACCGGAGAGGCGCGGAGGTGCGTGCTCGAGCGTCGGACTACAACTCCCGGCATGCAACGCTCTGGGCCGAGGCGACGTTTTCTGGTGCCATGCTGTTTGCCGACTACAGGTCTCAGCCTCTGAAGGCGTTTTATTTTTTAACGACTTGCCTTTAACGACACGACGAGATAGCGTGTGCGAAATACAGAGGGTGGAATTCCAAAATACAAATGGGATGGAATGGAAACGTAATTGGGAACTAAAGGTCTACAAGTAAGAACAGAGACGGAACCGGGATCGAAAAGGGCATACGCCAAAGTAGAGCAATAGAGGACATTAGAACTGAAAATCTACAGCTCAAGTTCTAACCCTTCTCATTTTACACATTAGTAACAGGGGCTCAGAGAGGAGGAGGGCAATAGTGATGTATAGTTTGTGCCAAATACTGTGATACACTTAGCTCTTTTAAATCCCACAACCATATAAGGTAAGTAACACTATCTTACCCTTATTTTACAGGATTTAAAACTTAGTTAACTTGCTCTAGTGCAGGCTGAATTGGTACCGAGACAGTCCAGAGCCCAGACCCTTTTTGTATATTCCATTACTCTTCGTGTTTCAGTTGCAGCTAGATTCTGTACCTGAATAAACTGTACCTACTGCGGCAACACAAATTAACTATGACATCTAATTCCGATATAAAGTTGCTTCGGAAAAAAACTGGGATTAGAATCACATTAAATGCAAGGTCTACTACATATACATCATGTACACACCATCACGTTCTCTAATGGTCCTAGAGTGTATTTTAGTATGATACTAGTTTTACTCAATCATTCGTTGTCAGTAAACATAGAGGACCTACAACAAACTATGATGGTACTGGGCCCTGATAACATAAAGAGGAGTAGATAATAGTTGCAGCACTCAAAGATTCAGATTACTTGGTCTACCATCAAATAAACATATAAATTATAATACTATGTGACAATTTTGGTATTTGTTTATCTTGGCTTTACCACAAGATTACAAACCCCTTTGTAAATCAGAAAGCTGTCATATTTCTTTGTACTCAAGTGCGCAAGGTGGTGTTGGGCATAAAGTAGGTGCTCAAAAAGTACACGTTACTGTTCATTTTGTTGAATTTAAAAACCATTTATGGAATGCCTCATTCTGGAAAGCACTACCAGATACGTATTTGTTATCGCAGTATTTATATACAGTCAGGACGAAAATTTGGGCTAAAAGATACCGTAACTTAAAAGCTTCACCTTCGTTCAGTCACCTGGGATTTTCCGAAGTGGTTTTGCTATTTCACTCCAAAACAGCATGATTTCTGCCTTTCCTGAAGTCCGGTTTACGTTTTCGACTCCGACCAACTGCGAGGTTCCTAGGGAGCCAGGTAGCGGCGCGCGCTGGCACGCATGCGCACACGCACTAGCCCGCGCGGGCGGGGAAGCCAACCCCACCCCTCTCCGGGGCGCGCGGCCCCCAGCACTTTCTCCGCTGGTCCGCCGGAGACCCCCGTGAGCGCGCGAGGTCAGGACGGGCGCGGCCTGGGCCGTTGGGCGGAGGCTGTCCGGGCGCCATGTCAGCCCAGGGAGTGGCGGTCCTGCTGTCGTGGCTGAGCTGCTGCGGCTCGGCCGTGTGGAGGTAGAGAGACGCCACTTGCGCACCGGGGCACCGGGCGGGGGTCGCCCCTGGGGCCGTGCCCCCGCGCCCCGGCGTCCTGACCACCCGCCCCCGCAGACCACCGCCTGGAGCCCGGGCTCCCCGCGCCCAGCACCCGCGCCCCGCAGCCCCCTTCCGAGAGTTTTCGATGGATGAGGGCGGAGAATGAAGGAGCAGGTTTACGGCTTTGCTCCTCCAGGGTCTGGATAACTTCGCGTCGCCGTCCTATGGACAGCTGAGCCCCTGCGAACCCACCCATAAACTCCTTTCCTCCTGCTGCACTCTTGTTTTGCCAGAGAGGAGAGGACCAAATGAGAGCCCAAAAGTCGCCACTGGGGAGGGAGGCGGGGCGAGGGCACTTCTCTAGGATAACTAGGTAGGTGATGGTGTATGTGAGGCAGATGTATGAAAGATTTATGACAAAGTGCTTTATAAAATGTAAGCACTGTACAAATGTAAGGGGATGTAATTCCTGCATGAGGAATGGGAGTTGATTCTGTGATTTGATTTAGGGAGTGAAGGATTTAACAGTTCTGAGAAAGCCTCAGTGCAACTGTGATTTTTGTTCAGTATTTAGTAACTGCTGGATTGGAAAGTGTATCGAAATATTTTAGAAAGATTTTCAACATAGGTTAAAATACAGATAATTAACCAGAAAAATAATATTCTGTGAATATTCCATTCAGTGGAGGTTTTGCTATAACTATTACCCTCTAACATTAAGATGTAAGAATACCGACAATCAAACTATTACAGAGATTTCAGAGGAAAGGGATCTAGGGCACCTCATTGGACGGTTGGGGGCATCGAACAGAGTTAAGAGTAGCCTTGGAAAGGGTCAGTGAAGTAGTGAGAAAAAGCAAAAAGGTAGCATTCTGACAGAACTTTGTAAGCTTCTATTTTCTCCTCTATAGAGTGAAGAAAAGAAAACCTGTCTCATGGGGTTGTTGTGAGGCTCGAATGCAAAGATATATTTAGCTCCCAGAACATGCCTGGCAAACAATGGATCAATAAGTAAGGATAAGGGATATTATTAAGAATGGCCTGTGAATTCAGGGACTTCATAAACTTTATGTTGTACACCAGAGGTCATCAAACTTTCTGTAAGGGCCAGGTAGTAAATATTTCAGGCTTTTCAGGTGATACCATCTATGTTTTAACTACCCAACTCTGCCATGGTAAGGAAATGCACACCCCCAACAGTAGTAAACCAATGGGTGTGGCTCTGTGTCAAAGAAATCTATTTACAGGTGGAATTTGACCATAGCTTGCCAACCCCTGGTCATAATGGTAAATTTCGTTCTCTTCCCTAAATTTCCAATGAGAATTTAGTGAAGACAAAGATGTTATTGTTTCCCATGGTAAAGTCACAGGCTCCTTGAATTTTATTTCTTAGTAAAGTGTTCTTTTAAAGGACAAAATTTCTTGAATTTGATGTAATGATTTTTTATTGTTAGCTTTTTTGGGGGGGTGGAGAATTCAGGGTAGATGTCTTATTTAAATAATTCTTCCTTTCGCCAACATCTAAGAGACATTTATCTAAATTTTCTACTAAGAGTATTAATGTTTATGACATTTCCTATCCCAGTGGAGTTGCTTTTCTTAAATGATCTAAGGTAGGACTGCGATTATTTCTTTCTCCTTATGAATCCGGATCCATTTTCCAGCTCCATTTATTGAGTATCACCTCTGTCCTATACAAAACTTCCCTCCAGACTTATGTCTGCTTCTGGGTTTACTATAGAATCCCTCTTATTTGGAGGAGAAATTAGTTTTAATATTTATATTTGACCTTTTCCTCCACAGGTATTCCACTAACAGCCCGAACTACCACATTTTTAGTACCAGAAGTACTGTAAGTGTGTAATTTTTTCAAACTATAGTATTATTATCTACCTTAAAGCAGAGAGCAGTACTTTATACTCAATTATAGCACAGTTATTTATTTTTATTTCATTTCCTTTGTCTCATTTATCATCCTAATATAAATCCCCTTGCCAATAAATGTCCTTAAATATATATGTAGCAAGCATAAGTAGTGTGGTTTTGAGAGTTTTGGTGATTTAATATTCACAGATAGGGTGGCCATACAATATATGTGTAAACTATTGAAAAAAGATAGTGCTATTAATATTTATGCTGGGACAACAGATATGAATTGCAACTGCCTCCACAAACTGGGATGAATGGTCACTGAAGCTGTAGACTTCATTCTCTATATTACTTTTTTTATTCAATACTTTGTCTATTTCGTTTCTTAATGCTGCCTGCTTACTAGTATGTGTGTGTTTTATTTGTACAGCCCCCCAGTGATGGACACATGGCTTTCTATCACTGCAAACAACACTGTGATGAATGCCCTTTTACATGTCCTTTTATGGGTCTGTGCAATAATTTTTCAGCTGGGATATAGTGAGAGCAGATGACTGATTTAACTAAATTCTGCATGATTGCTCTTGAGTGGCAATCACAGTTTCTACTGTCACCTACTGTACATCTTCACCAAAGTTTGGTATTATTGAATTTTCTTTTATTTATTTATTTTTTTTTTAAAGATTTTATTTATTAGAGAGAGAGAGAGAGAGACAGCAAGAGAGGGAACACAAGCAGGGGGAATGAGAAAGGGAGAAGCAGGCTTCCTGTGGAGCAGGGAGCCCGATACGGGACTTGATCCCAGGACTCTGGGATCATGACCTAAGCCAAAGGCAGATGCTTAATGACTGAGCCACCCAAGCACCCCTAATTTTCTATTTTTTTATTACCAATTTTATTACTATGTGCAATAGCTTATTGCTGTCATTATTTTCAGCTCTCTGATGACTAGTGATTTTGAGCATCTCTTCCCATATTTATGCAGGCTTCTCTTCTGAATTGCCTGATCATACCTTTTGCCCATTTTCCATTTAATTTTGTGCCCTTTTCTTGTTGATTACAGAGTGCTGTATACATTCCAGCCTCTATATTAGTTGAATGTTGGTTTTAAATATTTCATTTTCTTGTCTCTCATCTACTCATTTAACCATTACTGTTGTCTGTGAATATTTTATTTTTTAAGAAAAAGCTGACTTTTGTTGAGCCAAACCACACACACACACACACATGCTTTTTGACCTCATACTTTCTACTTTTTTGGAGTCTTATGAAAAATCTTTTCCTACCCGGAGTTGGGTATTTCTCCTATTTTTTCTTTTATATGTGTTATATCCTGACCTTTCAAATACAGGTCATGAATCCATCTGGGGTCCATTTGTATATAATATAAAGTATGCATTCACATTACTTTCTCCACATAATGAACCACCACCTATTAAACAACTTATTGTTTTTCTATTATTTTTCTGGTATTATATTTGTTTCCATATATAGATGTGTCAGTTTCTGAACTCTCTTCTTTCCTATGGGTAGAGTTGACTAATCCTCTCTTGTTTCATGTAGCTGCAGTTTAGTTTCAGTGCTATATACTCTTCCTTTGAATTAACATACCATAATATATGCATCATTTTACTGTAGATAAGCAATTAGGTGGTTTCCATTTTTAGTCTTTTTAAGTCTACTATGATTAGTGAGCTACTGGACTTGGTAGTCTACTATGAACATTTTAATACCTATCTTCTGCTTAACATATATATGCATTTCTGTTGGGAGTGGAATAGGTAAGTCATAGGATATATGCACATGTTCAGCTTTAGTTGATGGTGCCAAAGATTTTACAAAGTAATTGTATCAGTTTACACTTATATTCTATGTTTATATATATCATTGTATTTACATTATTCAGAATCAGGCAAAAGGAATCTATATAAACTATATTTTCTTTTACAATGTCATTTGTTTTTAAATTCATTGCTATCCATTTCTTATTAAATCTGTACTTACCGGTTAAACTGTCATTTATAGTTAATTTCTTTGATATCATTTATTTATATATTTCATCTTTGTTTTTTATACAGCTTTGCTGTATAACTGACCATTTTATTAGTCATTATAAAAATCTCCTTTTTTCTAAGTAGTCTCTACACCCAACATGGGGCTCAAATTCACAACCCTGAGATCAAGAGTCACATGCTCCACCAACTGAGCCAGCCAGGCACCCCCTAAGAATCTTTTTTGATCTCTGCTGTTCCTTTATCATTTTTATAGAGGTGACACAAATGTGTCATGTAACCAAAATAATGGAATTATGTCATTACAGAAATGAAAATTGGGAGTCAGAGTTTGATTCTCAACAAAGGAGGTAGACAAATGCAAGTGAGTAGATGGTAAAACCAGTGGCTTTGCAGGTTGCTTGCAAGTGATATTCAGAGAAAGAAAATATTGAGTGTACAGAAGATACTTTAGGTATTAAATAGTTCATAAATCTTAATGGAAAGCATTTTAAAACAATATTTCTCTACCTATTTGCTTTTCCTGGAGCTTTGGCATAAGGGACAGGATTCAGGTTGACACACATCCAGGAACCTGTGAAGTTGCTCTCAGGGAACATAAACTGGTGGAGGCCATCTCTGTGCTTTCCCTCTGCCTCACTACAGCTTTCCAGTATCTCCTAGAAAGGACCTTATGCATTTGTCTAGAGCCTGGTCTTTGTAACTGCTGCCTAGTATACCTCCAGATTGCCTGGCTCTGGTGGCCATGGCTTACACTTGTAGTCCCATAGGACTATATATATTTGTATACTTTAAAAGCTGCTGCTTGAGTGTCTAGCTTCCAATCAACATGAATCTAGGTGCTGACTGAGATCTTCCCTTTGGGACAATGACAGGACTTGGCACATCCTCATCTACTAGGAGTTATTAAAAATAAAATAGGCTGCTTGGACAATCACAGAGTTTCGAAGGACAACCAAGACCTAGGGCAAGGTTAAATGATAAGGCTCATCTTTTACACAAGGCCACTCCTTCAAGACTAAGAGAGGTGGTTATTTTATTTAATGCATAAAAACGAACACAAGAGAGTCAAGGAAATAGTAGAAACAGAGGAATATTTTCCAAACGAGAATAAGATAAAAGCTCAGAAAAAAACCTCAATGAAATGGAGATAAGTAATTTACCTAATAAAGAGTTCAAAGTAATGGTCATAAAGATGCTCACTGAACTTAGGAGAAGAATGGACGAACACGGTAAGAACTTCAACCAAGAGATAAGAAAAGAAGATACCAAGTAGAAGTCACAGAGCTGAAGGATATAATAACTGAACTGAAAAGTACACTACAGGGTTCAACAACAGACTAGATAAGGCAGAAGAAAGGATCTGTGAACCTGAAGAGGGAGCAGTGGAATTCACCCAAACAGAGCGGTAAAAAGAAAAAAGCAGAAAAAAGTAAACATATCTTTTTTTTTTTAATTTTATTATGTTAGTCACCATACAGTACATCATTAGTTTTTGATGTAGTGATCCACGATCCATTGTTTTCGTATAACACGCAGTGCTCCATGCATTATATGCCCTCCTTAATACCCATCACCGGGCTAACCAATCCCCCCTCCCCCCTCCCCTCTAAAACCCTGTTTGTTTCTCAGGTCC